CCTCCACCCTCCCCATCCCGGCAGGGTACAGGAGCTCCTCACCAGCCTGTGCCCCCTGCACCCACTCCCCACAAGGCTCCCTGCCCCAAGATCCCTGTGGGATCCCTGCCAGCATTGAGGGAAGCAGGACCACAACATTGCCATGTTAGGAGGCAGCTGTGCTCCCCGGCACAGGCTGCTCGCTTGAGCCCTGGCCAGGGGAGCAGATGTGGGAACTGGCTGTGCCCGGTTCTCAGGATGGAAAGGGATTTTTCCTTCCCCATCCCCCAGCATCAATCACTTTTTCTGTTTGGTTTTAGCCAAACTAGAGGGAAAAAAAAAAAAAAGGCTTCATGATGCAAGTAACATGAGCTGTTGAGCCCCAGTCCCAAGCTCGTGGCCAGGCTCTGTGTGCTGCTCTGCTGCCCTCCTCACATCCCCATGCCCTCCGCATTTTTCAGGCCCCCAGTGACCCCCAGAACTGCCCATCCCTAGGTTTGGATGGGCTTCATCTGGGACAAGATGAAGCCTGTCAAACCAAGCACTGCTGACACTCACAGGGTGTCACCTGCATCTCTGGGATGTGTCCCCAGAGCTGACTGTCTCTGGGTCTTGGCCACCCGCTGCTGACAGGTGACAGGGATTATTGCACCTTGTTTTGCAAGGGCTACTGCTGGAGAGGTGGCAAGGGACACAGCACTGCTTTCCCGCTCAGGGGGACACTGCACTGCTCCCAATTGATTCCCTGTCCTGTGCCAAGGCCAGCTGCTCCCCACAGAGCTCACCCAACCAGCTGCACACCGGCTGCAGCAGCCAAGAGTTGCATGTTGCCAGGGGACATGTGCTCCTTGCAGAGCTGACCCACATCAGTGGCCAGGGGCAGCACAGGCCCCAGGGGCACCAGGGGCTGCTCTGGGGGGGGCAGAACAGCTCCAGGATCCCTCCAGCATCCTATGGGACCCCAGAGAGATGTGGAAAACCAACACTGATATCAGCCAAAGGGTCTGAACAGGCTGCAGCCTGGGCAGGACCCTGATGAATATGCCAGAGCCCAGAGAGATGGGGCAGGTGGGACACACCTGGGGCTGCACCCTCTTGGAGGGGCAGGGAGAGGGAAGGGACCCTCCATGCCTGCCCAACACCGAGCTGCTGTTGCTGGCCCAGGTTGCTGCCCACAGCCCTGCTCTGCACCAGCACCATCTGCTTCCAGTTTGGGACCAGCCTGTGCAGGCAGCACAGGAATCAAACAGCAGCTCTAACTCCTTTCATGTCCCATCCCCACAGCAAAGCAGTGAGACAGACCCATCCTGCACCTCCCACGGGCCCCAGGCAGCCCCCGAGCCGTTACCTTTTCAAGTGCTCCAGCAGGAAGAGGAAGGTGATGAGGTTGGGGTCAGGCAGAGAGCGGAGAAGGTGCATCATGCAGTTCTCCTTGGCAGCAGGATCTGAGAGGGCTGTAGACAAGGAAGGAGAGGGCTCAGGACAGAGTCTGGTGCAGCAGCAGGACCCACCATGGCCAGGTGCCCCCCAGCAGTCAGTGTGTGGGCACTGGGGAGCAGCACCACGAGCCCTGAGCTGGCCTGGAGCCAGCAAGAACAAGCCAGGACCGAGTGGGTCGAGCTGGGAAGGACCCTTGGGAGTCTTCCAGCCCAGAGCAGGCAATGCTAAACAGAGCCACGTTTGGACACCAACCCCTTCCCCATCCCCAAGGCCTTACCAATCCCCTCCATGAAGGCGGGGTAGAGTCTGTCAGTGAGGAGGGGCTCGGGCAGCTCACGGAAGTACAGCTTCAGCGTGCCAGCGATGGCATTGATGTCCATGTCACTCAGCATGACCAGGATGTCCTTGTTATCTGTCCAGAGAGCACCCACATGTGATGCCTCCTGCCCTCCTTCCCCTCTGGGTCTCATCACTCCAGCTCTCCAGGCAGGCTGCCAGCTGGAGGGCAGGGTTCACAGCCCCTTTAGCCAGGCTGAGGCTGGGAAAAACCCGAGTGGTTCCCGCCTGGCTGGGCAACAGGACGCGGAACAATTTGCAAGTCCATGTGCAACATTTCCCTGAGTCAGTGTCTCCCAGGAGCCAGCCAGGAGCAGCAGCAGCTCGGAGGCATCGAGGCACAAACAAGGGCTGGGATCTCTGGGTTTTTGCTTTCCCAGCAACACCCTCCTCCTCATGCCCAGCCCCTCCCCGGGCCCAGCAGCACATTTTGCACACGTGCAGTGTGATAACCAGACCCTGAGCTTGCAGGGCAGGGGGGTCTCGGTGCCTGTGAACCCTCCCACGGGAACAGGGCACAAAGGGCAGATGTTCCCCCAGGACACTCACTTGCATCAAAGACAGCTTTCAAGGCCTGGATGTCAGTGGCGACGCCAGAGATCCTGTAGATGCCGACCTCCTCGATGCCCCTCTTCTCCACCTCCTCGATGCACTGGCGCACGATGTAAGGCACCTTGGAGCGCTCGCGCCTGGCTCGGGAAGCAGATCCGTGAGCAAAGATTCCCAGGGGACCCCACAGCGATCGGCCCAGCCCTGCAAACCCTGGGCCAGGGGCAGGATGGGCCTGCTGGGCGGGAAGGATGGGGGTGGTGAAGGGAATGGGCAAGTCCCCAGCAGAGAGCAAAAGCTGAGCTCCCCGGTGTTGGTGGGAGCAAGGGGACAACAGGGTGCAAGGATGGAGCAAGGGGACCTGGTGCAACCCCAAACCCACAGGGACCAAAGCACATCAGCCCACCCAGCCCTGCATTTACTTTGTCACGACGCTGATTTTGACCCCGAAGACACCGGTCTGCTTTTTGGATGGGGTCCTCTTCAGGCTCATGTCCCTGCTTGTGAACTTCATGGAGAACTCCACCTTGATCTGTGGGAGACAGGGGGTGAGTCTTGGCTGGCATGAAGGCACGGGGAAGGGGCTGCAATCCCAGAGAGGGGCTTGGGTCCCCCAGCCCCACTTACCCCATTCATCTCAATCACATCCATGTGCCAGTTTTTCGTCTGCACGGCCTGAGGGTCCAGCTGCAGGGAGAGATGGTGTGTGAGCTCCACGGGGACACAGCCCCATGCCAGCCTAGTGTCCCCAAACACCCTTGATCCACAGATGGTGTAGGGCAAAGGACATGCTCTTCCTGGGCAACACGTTGCTCATGACAAGAGGATGGAGAGATTCCCCTCTGGGGTCCCTCTGGCCAAGCCCTGAAGCCAGGTGGGCTCAGCCTCCCCATCCTGCTCTCCCTGGAGCCCCTGCGAGGCAGTGCTTTAACACACACCCGAGCAGCAAGAAATTTCCAAGAAATTAGGACTATTTCTAGCGGCAGAAACAGATGAAACAGAACTAGGGCAGCGTTTTCCATGCAGAAAAACAACATCTCCCCATAGCCAAGGCTATTTATAACCCCTGGGAATGACAGGCTCCGCTATTTCTGGCTTTGGGGCTAGCGGGGGACTCGGTGACGCTGCCCCGGCACCCGGCTGCTGCGAAGAGGTGCCGGCATTCCCAAGGCCCCAGCACGTG